ACTCAACAGCACTTCATGACAACAATGACATAGAATGAGCACTGGACTGCTAACCACAAGGTTGGTAGTTCAAACCCACCAACTTCTCTTTGGAATCCTATCCCTATACAGGGTCTATATGAGTTGGAACCTACTCCAAGGCACTTAACAACAACAACAAATTATATAGAGATGGAAGAGAATTGAAAATCCAGAAATAACTTTTACATCTTTAGTTGTTAATGCTGTTGAGGTTGTCAGCTCTGACTCATATTGGCCCTCTACACAACAGAAGGAGACACTGCCCCATCCTGTGCCATCCTCAAAATGCTTTATGCTTCAGCCCATTGGCTGCTTCCATGTGCCAATCCATCTTCTCATTTTCACTGACTCTCTCTACTTTACGAATCCTGATGTTCTTCTCCAGGGACTGGCTTTTAAGGAGCATTCTGTCTTTATTTCTTCTAATACAGATTTGTTTGTTTTTCTGGCAGTCCATGGTACTTTTAAATTCTTCTTCAACTCCATAACTCAAAAGCATCAATTCTTCTATGGTTTTCCTTATTCACTGTCCAACTTTCACATGCGTATGAGGTTATTGAAAATACCAGGGCTTGGGTCAGGTGCACCTTAGTCCTCAAATGAACATATTTGCTCTTCAACATTTTAAAAAGGTCTTATGCAGCAGATTTGTCCAATGCAATATGTCGTTTGATTTCTTAGCTGCTGTTACCAGTGTTGATGGTGTTGAGTGTTGATGGTGGATCTGAGCAAAATGAAATCTTTGACAAGTTCAATCTTTTCTCGGTTTATCATGATGTTATTTATTAGCCCAGTTGTGAGGATTTTTGTTTTCTTTACACTGAGGTGCTGTGGTCTTTGAACTTCATCAGTAAGTATTTTAAGTCCTCTTTACTTTCAGCAAGCAGAGATGCATCATCTGAATATTGCTGGTTGTTAATGAGTCTTCCTCCAGTCGTGATACCATGTTCTTCTTCATATAATCCAGCTTTTCAAGTTATTTGCTCAGCATACAAATTAAATAAATTTATTGAAAAAATGCAATCCTGGCACACAGCTTTCCTGATTTTAAACCATTCAGTATCCCCTTGTTCTGTTGGAATAACTGTCTCTTAGTCTATGTACAAGTTCTTCATGAGCCTAGTTATTCGCCAACATCTTAAATGCACCTTGGACTTCTTCATTCAGTAACAATGGTTCTTGATCATATACATCTTGAAATGGATAAGGATTGACCATTTCTTTTTAGTACAGTGACTTTGTGTATTCATTCCATCTTATTTTGATACTTTCTGCATCATTCAATATTTTGCTTATGTTATTGTTGTTAGATGCTGTCAAGCCAGTTCCCGTTCATAGTGACCCTGTGCACAACAGAACAGAACACTGCCCAGTCCTGCGCCAACCTCACAATCTTTACGCTTGAGCCCATTGCTGCTGCCAGTGTGCCAATCCATCTCACTGAGGGGTCTTCCTCTTTTTTGTTGACCTCCACTTTACCTA